CACGTTCAATCTATCTAATTTGCTATGGTGTGTAGATAAAATATATTCTTTTCTTTTTAATTCGACTTTAAGTTCAATTAAGATCTGAGAAATGAATTTATTTACACAACAACGGTCAGGAATTCATTTTGTTAATATTCAAAACTTTCCTTGTTGTTTTCTTTAGGAGAGACAAGAATAATAATACGAATGATAGTAAACATTCATTAAATATGCAATTATATCGAATGAAGAAAATTTTCCATTTAAATCAAGCAATATTTCATCAGATCGAACAAAATATTTCTCATATTATTAAAAATCATTCGAGACTATTAAATCAAATATTAACAATTGACAAACAACGGTTACATTTAATTCAATATATAAATTATCTTCATAATAAATGGCTTGTTGATCAACAACAAATATTAAATATTTCAGAAAAATTCAACAATATAAAATATACTATTGATTTAAATAATAAAAAATTTCAACAATATACTATAGAAAAACAAAATATAATACTTTTTTTACTAAAAAAACAACATTTAATTGTACTTATTAATGAACATATTAAATTAAATGATTCAATTCGAAATAAACATCGATTATGTTATAACAAGCTTATAAATGAAATTCGACAAATACGAAATAAAGTATTAGATGAAATTCATAAAATCAAATCATTTAAACAACAAAATCAACCAAATATGAAACAATTTATTCTTCATTTACGTCAAGAATTATTCGAATATAAAAAGAAAAACAATTATTTACAACATCGAATTCAACGACGTCACATTACTCGACCAATATTGACTGACTTCAATAATAAATCAATCATAAAGGGTAAAGATAAATTTCCTTTGCTTTTAATAGCATAGCATAGAGTATTAGATATACATTTAGTGCAGAGAGTACAAAAACAAAACCTATAAAAGCATTTGAAGATGACAAAACATGCCATCCTTCATTTGTATTAAATTAATTATATTATCAATACAATCATAAGAAACTTTTAATTTGTACTAGAAATAATGATGTTTTACAAACTAACAAAACTTTCATTAAAAATAATCACGGATTTAATTAAAATTTCGGAAATAACAATTCTAATACTGATGCAAAAATATTTATGTAAAAAAAAAACATCCAATTTATTAATTGTTTGATTAATTAAAACCTAGATATCTGTCAGCAGTTCATCTGTCCTAGATAATCGTAGTGTTTTTATTTATGTACAAATCAATAGATTGATGAATACTTCATCACTAATATATTCAAATGTTTTCTCGAATTTCTTTTTTAGTTGATATTTATTGATAAAGAATGCATAATAATATTTATTTTAGAATGTCACCGCATTATTTGAAGTAGCATCAACAAGAAATTTTGTTATCAAATAAAAGTTTATTGATAATAGGATTTCTTAGTATAACTTGATAATACATATGATAACTATTGTCTTTTAAATTGTGGCATTTTTCGAAGTTTTAGACGTTTAATCATTTACTTTCATAAGCAATCAATCTTAACAACACAAAGGTTTCAGAAAACTTAGTCACGTATCAGACTTAATTAAGTTGTCTTTATTAATGATTTTCTTCAATA